ATAAAAGGGAAAATAAATGGAAAAATAATCATAAATGGAAAAATAAATGGAAAAATAAATATAAATGGAAAAATAAATGGAAAAATAATCATAAATGGAAAAATAAATGGAAAAATAAATATAAATAGAAAAATAAAAAGAAAAATAAATGGAAAAATAATCATAAATGGAAAAATAAATGGAAAAATAAATATAAATGAAAAAATAAAAGGAAAAATAAATGGAAAAATAATCATAAAAGGGAAAATAATTTGAAGGGTTTTTGCTATTATATAAATATTTTTAAATATTTTATGTTTTTCGACTATTTTTGGATTTAACGATTTTTATGTTACAACTGTAACAATACTAATACTCTATTCTGAATTAATTTTGCTGATCATTAAAAATATCTAATTAATCAACTACAAAAATGAATTTAATAACTTACTATAACTTACTTCAATTTTTAGATAACAGAACCTACAATACAACTCTTATCAAACAACAAAAAAAATAACTTTAATAATAATCTAAATATTTTGTCATACAAAATGATCTATTTTATAAAATCAATTAATGAAAAGATACTAATAATTCACTTTGAGTACTAAAAGAAACAGAAATAAAAGTAATAATGAAAGAAATACATAAAGATTCATTATCTAAATACTTTAAATATAATAGAACTTATCAATGAATAATTATATAATATTAGTAGAATAGAATGAGAACTAATATAAAAGATTTTGTAAAATCTTGCTCAATATGTCAATTTATTAGAAGTTAACAATTCAAAGAACTCTTATATCCTATCAAAGTTGGACAACTATTTGATCATATCATAATTGATCTAATTGGATCATATAAACAAACTCAACAAGAAAATTAATATATTATTACAGAAATAGATTATCTAACAAAATGATCTGAAGCAAAAGTGATATTTAACAAAGAAGCTATTACAATTATAAAATTTATCTTTAAAGAAATCATCTATCAACATAAATGTCCAAAAATATTACAATCAGATTAAGAAACAGAATTTATAGTACAGATAATAGAAGAACTCACTAATATAATACAAATACTCATTGTTATATTATTTACAAATAAATAGAATTGTAAAATAGAACTTTATTAATAATGTTACAAAAACTCACTATTAGTCTAGTAGAAGAATGTGACAATGCAACCATCTGGAAAAATTTCTGCCGAAAAGTAATGTGATACACATCGAATACATTTCTCACATCATTTATCGTTTTTTCGCTTTTTTTCTTGTGTTCCATTCCGCAGTCTACCGATAACATTCCACCAAAAAATCATATATAACTAAAATGTCCACTACTTTATTCTGTCTTGTCAAAGGAAACACGCTTTCTCTGTTAAAATAAATAGGGATGAGCCTATCAGTGAGCTTAAAAAAGTTATCAAGGTGGAGCTTCACCACAGTTCGACCATGTTACGGTCAAAGACATCAAGTTATTGAAGGTGGAAATTCCTGACGATCGCGATTCCGAGTTAGCCAGCCCTGCATTAGACGTCGAACTTCCGGCAACTCGGGACGTAGGAGATTACTGGTCTGCACCACCGAAGCGACATATTCATATCATAGTCGAGCCACCGGTGCAAATTGCCAGTTCGAGCCGTGAGCAGGAATTGCTCGACCGAATCGCGTCATTGGAGGCATCGATTAACAAGTTTGTCCATGGTGCGTATATGTATAAAATTTCTTGGCAAAAACCGTTCCCTCAGGGAACGATCAGACTATATCCTGAAAAAAGATTTTTTACTAATCAGCTGTTGTGTTGCAGAATTCGATGTTATCGTAAGCCCGAAACGGACGAAGGGATTTAAGTGGACAGTGAATATCGAGCATGCAACCCTCGAAGGGCTCAAAAATTCCATACGTGCAGTATACCAAATGCCAGCACTTGAAAATGATGGAACGGTGTTCAACATGGTATGCGACAGCGGAAAATACTCACCCCGAAATGACCAAGAATTTTGCGAAATGCTCCACCTCCTTGTCTCAAAAAACAGTTTCAAGTTTACCGTATTTATAGAGACCCCCTCCAAGGCTTTCAACAACTGGACATTCCCCAAAGTTTGCCAACTCTACAATCTTAGTGAAAATCCGAATCCAGATGTATCCGTATTTCCAACCTTTTTTTGTGGTTGCTCTGATACGAAAAACGAAAAGTTCCAAACCGCCCTGGATAAATTAATGTTAGAATTAAAAACCTGTCTTGCCACAACACCCATCAACCTCTCATATGAAGCAACAAAAACAATATATACCTACTCGTACCTTGCATCTGCCGTCTCGCTCTTCGAAACGTTGATAAGGATCCGGCCTGAAAAACTCATTGAAGGTATGCGGAATTATATTGCTCCCGTTCGTTAATGTATGGAGTACACTTTTTACAAAATATATAAATTCTTATTACACTATTCCGTCCACACTAGGAAAAAACGGGTAAGGTAAAACCGATTATGCGATGGAATCATGTGCAACGGGACTGATTATCGGCGTTGTAGAAGTCCAGAGGGAGGATTTTTTGCAAGGCATTGCGCAGGCAACCGTACAAATGGAATCATCATTGGTGAGTATACAAGTATGCATAAGAATTCGCTATTTTGTTTTTCGTTTTTTTCTGGATGTCTTATATCTCTCACGTAAATACTGTTTTGGTTTATGTGTATAGGCGAGTTGCAAGCGGAAGGTTGATGAATTGGAGACTGAACAAGTTGTTGGTTCCGTTTTCGTAATTGTGACTGATGCAAAAGAATTCTACTTCCTTGAATGTACACTGGACGATCAAGAAAAACCATTATTCAAGCTCTCAAAACCGGCCGTTGTTGTATACGAGGATGAGGATATGAAAGTCAAGGTAGAGAAAGTTCTTTCTCATATCGTATGGCTACTAGAAGAGGTTCAAAAAGCGGATGAATTGGAAGGTGGAAATAAAAGAGTTAAGGTAGATTAGCTTAGCAAAATGGCTATTGTAATTACTGTGAACCAATGGCCTATTTACTCTTAATAAATTACTGTGTGCCTTAACGAAGATACGGAAATGTCAATCGTGTTATGTGTATTTCATTACCATTATAATGATCACCCACCGCATACAAAAAATAACTGGTTCGAACCACACCCTGACCATTAATTCATTTAATACGGGGTACGCAATCTAGCTAATTCATCTATTGAAGGATTTCCCCAACACAAATTTTGAATTCATAATGAACCGACGAATTGGCTTTCTAGGAGTTACACACAAAGAAATGAGCGAGATATCAATTCATCCGTAGCTCAAGTGCCACCATGAGCTCTATAAAACACGCCAATTTCGCAAAATATATCCACAGGTTCGTTCTTAGAACAATTTACAATACAACGCAAAACGCACGCAAATCTAATAACTCGTTAGTGCGAAATCACAAATTATATCGCATCAAACCTTGGAATACGCAATTCGTGCTCGTCGCGTTCATGCTAGTCCAATCACTATCTATTCTGTGTTTATCTACAACTCTCGAAAACTGGAAAATCATATTACTTCTCTGTTTGGTCTTTACCGTCACCAATATCAACCGCAGGTTTACTGCGAGATCGAATACGACGAATAAAGCGTGTCAGAAAAGCGCATATGACGAACAATTGATCCAGACACGGAAGGGTACTCACACCGAAATACAATCTCTTCAAAAGACGTTATGCGCAACAAGGTCCCGTAAAACTCGACAAATCAACACCCCATTTTGCAGGCCCTTTATGGGCGAGTCAAATCCTAAATATTGCGACGCTCCTGAACATTTATTTTATCTGGGTTTGGTATATGTTAGCAGGCGGGGTAAATATAGATTTTTTTTATGGACAGAGGGTGAATCATTTAGCTGTAATGTATCAGTTTTCTCATTTGTGAAGACCCTAAAGAATAGGAACGTTCATTTTTACTTGGTCAAGGGCTTTGGATCCCTGAGCGATTTCAGCGGATTCGTGTATTTTGTAATATCGAAAATTTAAACTCTATTTAATGAATATACTAGCATTCTCCTGTATATAGCATTTCACCGATTGAGACTGAAAAGACACCGTATCTCTTGATGGATGATATGCAAACACGTTTGCTCCTAAAACTTCACCGTATTCCTCATCATTGAAAAATACATCAGTATCAATCTCCTCCGAATTAAGCAGTGCATGGATGACACGCTTTCCTGCTTCGTGATGTGCTTGATTTCGAAGGAGTTTTGCGGAATCAAATTTCTTCTTGACTTTAGTTAGGATTGACTCTTTAATGACTGCAGAAAAAGAGTTAAGCAATTAACCCAAAGCAGAGTCGAGTTAAGCAATTAACCCAAAGCAGAGTCGAGTAAGTTCATTTTATGAAACTAATTCTTACTTTCAAAGGATTGTCCAGCCAGAAATTTATCAGCCGTGGCCTTCAGTTCTACGATGCGTCCACCTACTAAATCATATAGTTTTTTTGCTTCTACAGAGTTGATCTTGCGCTTGTCGATTAGATATTCCATTGATTCTTTCTCGCTAAGGTCTCCGATTTCCATCACTGGTTGGTCTGCACGCGACCAAGCACTGCGGGCTAAAATAAGAATCACGATCTGTAAGTAATAATTCTTGGGGTGCACCAAAAAACAATGCAGTACTTACATTCCATTCTTCTAGGCACCGAACCTTCACTGCTAACAAATACAACGATATATTTTCTGCGATCGGCATTATCCTTGGCGTCATCTTGGAGAATATCGAGGATTTCCGGATTTTTGTTAACCAATCGGCTAACGTTGTCATAAATAATGATCGGAGGTTTGCCATGCTTCGCTTTATACACTTCAGAAGCGCGCTTAAAGGCATCCATAGCTCTTTCCCACTTTGAATTTCCTAATTCATCTATAAAAGGGAAATCAGGATTAAAATGCTGGTCTCAAACAATAAAATAGAAATAGCAATCTTACCCTTAGAATCGCCAAAAAATTTCCGCTTCAGTCGTAATGTGAGCATGGCATCTTCATCAAATATGAAATTGAGAGCTTTTCCAAACTCCTCGCCCAGTTTGTTAAAATTTGCAGGAACATCAACATATATAACGCCTTTCCCAATTTCTCTTGCCACCTTCGCAGTCAATGTTGTCTTCCCGGTTCCGTGTTCACCACAAATAACATGGTAATATGAATGATCTTCATCCGGTTGAAAAAGGTTTTTAAGGCGTTCTACGACTTCAGGCCGAGGAATGAGCTTATCATTCGACACTTCCGTCTCCGGTTGAGTACCTTTTTCCAGGGTTTTGTTGACGCGTCGCTCATTAGATTGGGTCACCCACCCAAGGTAAATAAGGTCCCCCGCAAAGACGAGCGCACCGCTACCCAACACAAGTCCCCACAGGCCTTTCCAGTTGATGGAACCTAAATAGGTTCGTGCCAGAATCCATTTCTTCCAGGTGAGGGAGGCAGACTTCGATTTTTCAGACTCATTAGGAGCAGGATTTGTAAAAGTTCTCGAAAACGATGATTGAAACAGGTCAGGTCTTGAGTTTCTCAACGCAAATTTTGGTGGCTGAAGGAATAAGACTTGACGGGTAACGAAGCGCGACGGTAAAACGCTCCTACAAAGACACCGAGTGATATTGGAGGACATTTGTGCTGGTAAATATAATCAATCACAAAATCACGCGATTATCATGGAACATTTTTCTCCGGACCAATCCCATGCGTATGCAAAAATGATTGCTATAACAGCAAGGTTAGCGTAGATTTTATTTTTCCCGATCGATCGCCAGTTCGCGTTGCACAGCCGGACATGTATTACGGATAAATCGACGCGATCTTTTCGTCACAAATTTAAATAAATCTGCAAATATATAAAACACATAATATCAAGTATGTCGTCCAAACTAGATTTACTCAGACAAGAAAATGCAAAACTTATGGGTGAGAACGCTTCGCTCTTGGCTAAGGAAGCAGGGCTTATGGCCAGAATTGTGGGGTTAGAACAGACCGCCAAAGAAAATGCCGAGCTTAAGGCCAGAGTCGCGAAATTGGAACAGACTGCAGAGGAAAATGCTCAGCTTAAGGCTAGAGTCACGAAATTGGAACAGAAGCAGTTACAAACGATATTTATTCCGATACCCGTCCATCCAACTCGCCCATATCGCCAGAAGATAAAGAGGTCGATGATTTTGTGGATTTGAAAGTTAAAGAAAGGGTTAGTAACGAGATAAGAGATAGAAACAGAGAAAAAAAGCTTCAGCGCGAATCTGCTGGAAACCAAGCCCAAGACTTATTGTATTTTCATGAAATTACATCCAGAGATATGGAGTCACGACCCCAAGTTAATCATAATACAAAAACCGTTCCCTCAGGGAACGATCAAAGTCATGTAATTTTAACTGAGTCACCTTCGTTGCAAACTGAAGTGTCTGAATTAGAACAGGACGATGAAATTGATAAAACCCAAATTGTTGAACAAGGTTTAATACAGGAATTGCATTTACCTACTAAAGAAAATGATAGCTCTATCAAAATCAGCAACTCTGGCGACAAATCAGGGAATATGTTTTCGGAGGAATCGATGATTGTTTCCTTTGAAAATTCTGCCCAACATTTGTCTCATTTATTTAAAGCAGCAATCAAATCAAGACAGCAGGAAATCCTAAACTGGTATTATTATTCTCTTGAATTCGAAAATAAGGTTCGTGATATTACAGCCGATGGTAAAACCAAAGATAAAATGGCTAGAACAGTGATTTACAAAGAAATGAAACCTTTTCTTCCTAATATCACACAAGATAACTTGCGCAAAAAAACTCTTAGAGCTAGAAAACTTCTTATATTATTCAGAAAAGATGAAGTTGGAATAGATAAAATTAAGCAAGTCACTTATAGTGCGAATGAGATTTCAAAACTGATTAATATCCAAATCCAAAATATTATAAATCAAGTGACTTTAAAAACCGTTCCCTCAGGGAATGATCAGATTAATGCAGAGGTAAGTGCTTCATCAAATGCACAAAGTGCGCTTTCTCTGAAAGATAATATATTGCCAGAAAATAAGATTCCATCTATAGATCATGCCAGTGTATCAGCTCATGATCGTAATTATTTTCGTAATAAAATATTAGGCCGGTATCCTGATATATATAGAGAATTTAGTAGCAAAAAATTCGATTATTATGAAATTATTGATAAGTCATTATGTCCAGCATGCAAGTCGAGTCATAAGGATGAGAAGAGTATAAGAGGTAGATGTGAAGCTGGGTCCTATTTTATTAAATGTGGAGAGTATGAAATTGAGATCACAACATAGATCATAAAGTCATCCAGGTATAGCCACTATATTTATTTTTTAATTATTAATTCGGAATATGTACAGGTAAGTATCCTTGTTATATAAGTGAGACAAAGACACTGAATTCTATTCATTATTCCATAATAATAAGCGGTTATTTTGTATCCAACTCTGCTTCTATATATATCAAAGAATGAGTCACAACTTATACTTAAATTAAATTTGCGATTATATAAAACAATAATATGGATAAAGCCTTAACTCCAGAATATTTGGACTCGCATGCTAAATTGGTTGATTCACCAAGCCATTTGACAGATAAAATCCGTTCAAGCTTATATAGAGCATATACAGAAGAGACTGAGCTTGATCCCTGAATAAAGTCTGAAGCTTCTAAATCCTTACAAATCAGTGAAGTTAGCATAACTAATCCAAATTAAGGTTGCTTGCCGAAATCCCTTAGTGACTGTCTAAATTCTGTCAAAATTATAATAAACTATTAGTAAATAACCCATCGAAATTCTGACGAATTTTGAAACCCGTCGTAACTGAAATTATGTCAAAATTCTAATTAACAATTAGTGTGTAACCCGTCGAAATTATGACAATATTTTTCTGAAAGGATTTAGGCAAGCATCCTTAATCCAAATAAGATTTATCAGCTAGAGGCTGGCTTACGCCAATATGCTATTAAACATAAAATTGATCCCAAGAAATTTTCAGTCATTACTGAGGCTGAAAAAAAAAATGGAGCATGGGATGCTTCCGTGGTAATTTGGAGAAAGATATACGATTATATCATGAAGGAATAAAAAGGAATGAAGATACCAGAAAATATCATAAATTTTTAACAGATAGGGAAAGGCTAGTCGGTGAAGAGTTATTACGTCGCAGTATATTAAAGAGTGGTTTAAGTATTGCATGGCTCGATAATCTTATGGAAGAATGGGAAAAAATTCACATTCAATTTGTACAAATTTTTAACTAGGTCTAAATTAACTTACAATGCATAAATCATTTTTCCGCGATAAAAATTGATTGCATTACACAGATGTTTGATCAACATATATCACAGAATAAATTAGAACTTTTCATGCATGATGTAATCGTATGACCTGCTAATTACTACTAACTCGTGGCATACGCATTTTCTTTGTGAAAAGTTTTTTCGCTGTGCATTGCATCGTTCCAGTTTCACATTTCCTAAATTTACTGTTCTTATACCTAAATGAGTATATATACGTTATGGTTATTCGTTATTTTTACTTGCGATATAACAAAGATTTTATTACTTCGAACTCGACTAATCAATATGTTTGCTAATTTACAAACCAAAATTCATAATTTTTTGATAAATGCTGAAGAACATCATATAAATGCCACCTCCGTTGTTCACCAAGGCTTGGAAGAGAACTCCTGGATTCCACAAAATGAGTTGAGGATGATTGTAGATCAAGTCATTGGTTATCTTAGTAATTTGTGTTCGGATGAGTCTTTGCGTCAACGAAAGCTTTTTAGAATTCATTCACAGATTAACTATTGATTTTTTTTACAAATTATTTCATTATATGATGATATTATGTGATTCACTATTAGATTCCAGTACCAAAAGGTAGCTCAATTATCCTATTAATCCACTCACGATAAACACTTGCTCACAATGGAGGGATATCTAAGCTATAGATTGTTACGCAATAATGTAGTTTATCCTAATAATCTATTGATGAGAAAAATTTATCACCTGTACGGAGGATAATAAGACTATATTGTTGTGTAGAAATTTAGTACCACACAGAGTTTCATTGGCGTGATGGCCACACAAAAATGATAACTTTACATATATACTGATAATATATATATTTTTTTAATGATGCTTTTTTAGTACTGAAAACTAATGTATATATATTTTTTTAGTTTGAAGATGCTTTCGAGGGGGTCTCCATATTGTATGATCTCGGGGTTGTTAAAACAAATAAAAAAAAGTCTCTTAGCTCGGACCAAATCAATAACAATATAGTTGAGCTTAAAGAGAAACTCAAAAGAGATACAGGTTATTTATATCAACATTTATTATCTGGTGTAAATGAAATATTCCCTGTAAAAAAAAATAAAAAACTAAAATCAGGAAAAAATCCGGTTTTTTAGTTCCGGAAAATCACAGGTTTTGTTA